TCTGTACTCACTGGTTTAACTAAAGATAGATCCAAAATAAAAGCACCACAGCCATGTTGTCAATGCAAAATGTAATATACTATTCCAGTTTTCACTGAGACAGGATAGTACACACTTATCATGTAGTAGGCTACTGCTCTATAGCACATACACTGAGTGTCTTATTATAGTGCCCTTCATGTCCATTTTCTGGGGGTGCATCATGGGAGTTTATCAAAATGCAAATTACCAGTAGCTTCATACAATATTCAGATATAAGCAAATAATAAATAGTAAACACCAGTGGTGGAAGAAGTAGGCTAATTTGATTTTTTACGTAAGTAGAAGTAGGTAAGTATTATCAGAAAACTATCTTTAGTTCCAACAATACAATGCAATATTTTCATTAGAAATGAAGTGCAGTATAAAGTAGCAGAAAATGGGAAATGGAGATACCCCAAGTAAAGCAGTGCACAAAATTTTACTTATCTTAAGTAGAAGTACACAGTAAATACATGGATAGGCCAATCAATGACTTCTAAATTAGAGCAGTAACATTTAGTCTAACTGCAAACAGAAACATTTAAATCATTTTAACAATTTTCATTGTGCCTCTAGTTGAAGCATTAAAAATGTTACACTTGCCTTCATCTCTAAAATTGATATATACAACCTTCAAACAAATGCTCTACCCATGATTTACCTAAAGACAGTTTATCTTTTCAAAATAAAAGAACCCAACCATATTTTCAGGGCACATTTTACTGAGACCAAACATCAGTTAGGCTATCACATAGGCCTTTAAAACCGCTCTTAGCCGTTATTTATAAGAGACAGAGGCTATAACAGAGGCTTCTGATTACTTCATCTATTTAAAGATATGACATTGACTCGGGGGTCCTGCTCTGGAAGAGAAGGGAGATTATTGCTTTAGCAGTCAGTAACAGCAAGATGATGTGAAGAGGGACACAGCTTTGGTGATCTTGTTAGAAGCAACAGAATCAATGTGTAACTTTCCCTTACCAACAGAAACAGCTGTGGAGGAGCAGAGCTTAGCTGAGCCTCTGGCAACACACATGAGCATGAAGGCTGAAGAATAATTCTATTTTACATCTTTACTGTTGTTTACTGTAAACTGTTGTTTACTGGCCTAGTTGGTTGTCACTTCTAAAACCATCACATTCATATCAGCTTGAAAAGGTTCCTGTGCTTCCTTGACAGTATCAGGTGTGCTGGCAAGTAGATTAAGGGGACATTCTTACATTGGCACCCTCTTCTGGGGCTGTGGTTGCCTTTTAGTCCAAAAGTCTAAAATTTTACTAAAAGTGCTATAATTAAAGATAGGACAAACTGCTGACTTTCTGTTTGTGTCTATATGTAGGTACACACAGGTGTAATTGGGAAATGATGTTAGATTTTGCCAGATCAGGGGAGAAGGAAGGAAATACCATTTTGAGGTACTTCTTGTAGCTACTTCTGTACTTTTCACTCCACCACATTTATTTAAGATAAAGACAAATTAAGATGTTACAAACAAAATATGATCCATTTTTACAGATAAAACTACCAAGTACTTCAAATTAGCTCCACTTTGACAAACAACATTAAAGTAACGCTTACATATTAATACATCAATTTAATGATCCAATAATATATAACAGTATAACACCGGCATTATGAATACATTTTCTTGCTGATACTTGTGTACTTTAAGTGAAACTTTGAATACTTCTAATGGAGTATCGTTTTACTATAAAATTGGTACTTTTGCTTATGATTCGAATACTACACAGTGCCAATAGGCACAGAGTCTAGTCAACTATTGTTATACTATATTTGTAACCCAAGATGTACACATTTGTGTGGCATAAAGGTGGTGTAAATTGTGTTTTTCTGTTCATGTACTATAGTTTATTTATACAATTTGCGTATATAGTCATTTTTACAAACGTAATTTGTGTATATAGTCATTTTTACAAACGTTGACTCTGTTTACATACTCATACAACTTTTTTTTGTCATTTTGACATACTTTCAGATTATGATTTTTATGAAAATCATTCATTTCCATGCAACAGTAAGTTGGGCTGTTATTTTGTGCATCCAAAAAAAATATATTTCTCCCTAGAGATTACATCCCCCCACAATTTCCAATATGATCAATCAATTTTAAACATCCTAGTGTTGACATTTGTTTTGTATATATATTTCTAGTTTTGTAGACTAAGATCTGGCTTGTGAGTGAATAGAGCTCCACATATAAGATATAAATGGAATTGAAACATTAAAAATTTAGAATTTTCCCACTTGTGTTTATTAAAATTAGGCCATTCTGCAACTTTATCTAACATCAATCTGCAGAACAGTGGCTCTGTGGTTAGCCCTTTGCATCACTGCTAGAAGGTCCACCGTTTCTTTCCTGGCTAGGTTTGGATTAGGGAATACTTGTGGAGTTTGCATCTTCTCCCCATGTTTGCGAGGGTTTCTTCTGTTTGCTCCAATTTCCCTTGGCCAAGGCACTGGTTTAGATCTGGTATTGGTCCCCAGGAGCTGCATTGTCGCTGCCCACGGCTCCTAATAAGGATTCGTTAAATGCAGAGAACAAATTTTGCATACGTTGTACTGTGACTGTATTGTATATGTGACAAAAAAGTTATAAGATACACCTGACAGATTGATCTGTCATAGATGCACTACAGAGGAAACATAAAGATCAGTCATTCACAGAAAAAGAAACTTTTAAGCAATATTTTAAGCAATCTTTATCATTGATGAGATGATTTAAGGATTATTATTTTGCTTTGTTTTGTTTTTTATCTCTGACCACCAATTTCTGCTGACATTCCTGTGTGTAATGTGGTCCAAGTCTATTTATGAAAATCAGCTGCAGTTACCACAATAACCACTAGATGTCCTCATAAGACCACTGTGCGCTCAAGCATTTAGCACTTCCAGCAAGCGATAACCGCTTTATCTACAAAATCACAACACATTTTCAGCCTTACAGAGTAATGTTTAATTACAGCCATTCGCTTTACTTCTCAGCGATCTCAGTATGCATACAATCACACCAGACACATCAGGTCTGCATCAACTAAGTCTCTAATATGATGTCATCTTTTCCCTCATTCTCCGAGCATCTATGTCCTCTTCCCAAAGACCACGCGGGGTCCTGTCTTGCTCCCCCGAGGTTCTGAAGAGATGATCCAGATGGCAGGGGCTTTTATGAAGTCCCTGTCGACCATCTTTTCCTCTTCAGCAAGGGCCATTGCCTGTAGTTCAGGGGAGGTTTCTGGGCACCAATCTGCCATGAACTTATCCTTGGCCTCACAATAGTTCACCACCACTTCCTCAGGCTGCTCCCCACACAGCAAGTCTGGAAATCCGAAAGAGAGTGGAAATGTGTTTTTGTATAAAACACAGAACACTTTTAGTATCTTCTGGCTTAAGGAGTACTGTACAGCAACAAACCTGCAAAGTCATGGATGAGGTCTTTGATGAGGTGACCAATGATGGCATAAAGAACACCCAGCACGACAGTGATGGCTATGAGCAGGTAGAAAACATAGGTAGGCAGGTGGACAGCATCCCGAGAGGGGGGCACATAGTTCTCAAAGAGGACCGTCCCATCTTCTTCCTTGTACCGAACGTTTAAGCTCTCCCCCAGCGCGTCCATTGCTGTCTGGGCGTCTTCAAAACTGCTGTCAGCTAGGGAATCCACTTAATACCTCGGTATCATCGCTGTAAAGAAGCCAGCACAAAAGTTTCATCTCACAGGTCTTTCGATGCAAGTCACAACAAGATCAGAAGGAAATACTACATTCTCCAACTTTAAAATCAAAGATGTGTCTACAGTATTTCTACAGAATTAACCTCATTGCTTCACATAATTTAAGACAATGAACATACATTATACTTTCAACAAGCAAGGAAGCAGGCAATGATCCTCCAATTCACTTGGTGTCTTTACACTCCTGGTTAAACACTACACAGAGCAAGTAAGACTTACCTAAAAAGTACAGCTAGGCCTATCCATCTGTCACCCGGACAAATTCTTCATTTTGTTTCCCTGTACAAACTCTTGATCTGTCTGCTGGAGCTACGCAGATGGAAACTAGATTAGCTGCAGCGGCTTGAGGTACTCAAGGTCAGAGGAATGATGCTGCGAGCAGTTTCCTAATTAGGCAGAGAGTTTTTACCTGACACATACAGAAAATCATGCAGATCAATAATGTAGGTATCGGTCTGTCTTAATCTGTCATAATGTTCTTCTACTTGCATATCAAACTGTACTTAATATGGCTAATAATCTTTGGTCCTCACAAATAAGGTCAGTGCCCCTTATACAACCAGGTATTATAAGAAGGTAAGATGGATTAACAGATACAAGACATAACAACAACTCTTGTATTATCCATTTGTTTACTGGAGAGAAGCTTAGTCCAAAACAAGAACAGGGAACAGGGAAAATGACATGATTTTTTTCTTCAGCGATACATTTCAGCAACATGTGTCACATAGTGGGTTAATTACAGCATGTTAACAGTATGACAGTCTGCCTGGTCAGTGAGGAAAATGTACAGAAATGGCAACTTATATGCAGTTTTACAAAACTTTCTTGGCAAATCTGACATTTTCATTGAAACGTGTTTTAAAGTTGTATACTTTCAGATATAAATGTCAGCTATTAAAATAGGATGTAATTTTTGACGGCCCACATTAACATCTTTGTTCACATTGTACATCATTTATGTTTTTAGCATGAGAAATTGTTTGGGCAGCAAACAATAATGTAGTGCAATGTATTTTGAATGAGTGACAATATGGACCAGGTTTATATACAATTTTAATAAGCAACCAAAGTAAGCATTTGTTTCTTAGCAAAATCACTACAAACTACAAGTGTGTTGTAAATAAAACAAAATTGCCTTAGCTTATGCATCACTACAGCAAAGCGACAACACTGATCACTGCACTGAAATGACATAGAGGACAAAAACTAATCTGAACCACTGCTGTACCACTGCTGTAAAAAAAAAAAAGCAATGTTGCAAAAATCAAAGTGAAGTGGCATAAGGGGTCATGGGGCAGGCGAATGTCACACTATGAATAGATGTTCTTTTTTCTCCAGTGTATGATGAAGCGATGGCGCTTTTCAGTGGGGGAGGGGTGGATGGACGGCGGCAGCCTCCGCTTTCCCGGTTGAAACCAGGCAGCGGCCCAGCCTTTTCCTTCTCTATCTCCAGCTTGTCTTTCTCCATCAGCTTACTGGAAACGCTCTGTCGCCGCTCTTCTTCTATTTCTGTTCTCCCTTCCTCTGAATCATCTTCCACTGGTTTGGGCCCAAGAATCCAGTCTGTGAGGAGAGAACAAAAAATGTGAGAATGAAATGAAATAAAACCTGTGTGTTTCAAAGGGGTACTCTACCGATTTTACACATGAAGTTCAGTTTACTTGTCATCTCATTAGAGATGCTATTGAGTTGCATTATGTGAACTGTAGGATCTAGTGTTTTGGGGACTAAATGTCTGGATATTCGTGGAAGAAAAACAGAAAATCTGCAGAGTACACCTTTAAACCTTTCAGCAGCAGTCATTTAGTCAAATTTGAATCATCAGGCATTAACCTTAATGGTAGAACAAGAAAAACGTTGACCTCTGCTCACAAACATCAGGGTGAACGTGAAGGAGGGTCATCAAGCAACATGGTCACCCATAAGGGGAAAAAAGGGAGAAGACAAAACACTGATACGGCCTTGGACCAATAACTCAGGGAGAGAAAAGGACTCAAAGACACGGCAAACATGGACACGAGAGTGGAAAGAGTGACAGGAGGGAGAGGACACCAGTCAGGGGTTACCTGCCAGGTCATGCATCAGATCTTTAATCAGATGTCCCACTATGGCATAAGTGGCAACTATAACCAACACCACCCCAACTAGGACATAGACTACATTGCGCGGCAGAGTTATCGCATCTCTAGCCGGCGGTACGTAGTCCACGAAATAGGCCTCCTCCTCCTTCCTTCTGGACAGCTGGAGGAGCTCTCGGTGCTCAAACACCAGCTGTGTGAGGTTCAAAAGCAGAGACCCAACTGGCTGTTGGTTCATGGTTTTGACAAGGGTATAGCCTGCTCAAAGAATGTGATGACGCTTCAGGGCTGTTTCCTTGGGTCATCCGAGCTCCGTCATGGCACTCTGAAAACTTGGGAAACAGGTGATATGGGTGCATCAGAGCCAAGGAAGAAGAGTAACTGAGCATTTTCATATTTTCTAAAGCTTGGAAGAATAGCAGGATTGATGACAGGTGGAAATGTCAAGATGGTTCAAAAATAAGAATGCGGTCTTTTATGAGTGACAGCTCTCTGTCACAAAGTAGTGCTTCAAAAATGTAGTTCACCAGACAACAAAAATGTGATGCCATAAGTGTGCCAAGTCTCCTAATCTTTTGTCTAGACTTAAATCCCAGCATTCCTCCTTCTAGTCTTTTGGAGAGGGGTCCTCGGTCAAATATCCAGGGGAGCGAGGAGCGTGAGACGGAGGAGAGGTGAATGTAGGACAGACAGAGTTAATAGGATTGAGTCTGTCACAAAGCAATATCAGCGTTCCATCTGTTGGGATTAAAGATATGAGCGAGGAGAGGTGGACAGTAATACACCAAAGAGGCTTATGGTCCTGTTGCATATATATATGTATGTGTGTGTGTGTGTGTGTGTGTGTGTGTGTGTGTATGAGAAGCAAATATTACAGTAAACCCCACTTTCACTTGGGTTTAAACTGACATCACTTTATGAATATTCCATGCTTCAAATCAATTTTGAGCACAGCAGGTCCACTTCTTCACACATGTCACATAATCCCACTGATATTTCAAAATGCAGTCAAAATGAAATTTTCCTGGTTGAATTGGCCACTAAAAATACCTGTGGGTAGGAAAACTGTATCATGAAATGTGACTTATGAGAGACTCATGACAAAATTTAACAGATGAAAAGCAACAAATGTTGATGAAGTAAGGAATTTGTTAGATGTTACCGCAGGGTTTTAGGGCGTAAGGAATACTCCTTACCTTGTAATCAAGACTTGAAACTCCTCAGCTCTTTTCTGTGACTTGTGAATGAAAGGACTTCCAAATGGGTGCGTGCTGTGCTCAGTTGGCTCTGGAAATAACCACAAAGACAAGGCAGAAAGTTAAGATCATGCAAACAAATTGCTTACTGTAGTGAGAGCAAAAAAAACAAAAAACACAAAAAAACAAAAAACACAAAACAACAACAATGAAAACACCCCACCATCAATGATTTTTCTCTACAAGTGGGCAGGTATAGAGTGATCCAAAAATAAGTTTTCATCCTCCCAGGTCTTCTTGCTGGAACATTGTAGATGTAGATTGCTTCTTTAGGGAGTTGCTTCATCTTCTTTTTTTGTCTTGGATAGTTTGATATACTGAGTAATGAGAAACTGCCATTCATAGACGGTAACGGCAATATTTGCCAAGAGAATGAACCAAGAGACCGGGTGCAGGCCGTAGTAGAAGACGTGTGTCATGTTGTGCAGTAGAAGATGTAAAGAAGTAAAAAAGAACAAAAAACTGAAGAAGTGATATAACGAAAGCGCAGTGTGAGGTCTCTGAATGTGTCTTAGGAGAGGTCGTCTGGGGAATAAGGCTGTCTGTGTCATTATCAAGGTGTTCAAGGTAATCCTTGACAGGATTTGGTCGACACATGCCACTGTCATCAGCAACACCTTTTGGCCGAGTCAGCAGATGGCAAAACAGAAGATAGAGTTAATTAAGCATCACCTGAAGCGCATGTTGACATTGAAGTGTAGCGCGGTTTGAACAACTAATTCACACTGTAAGCCACAAATACTACAAGAAGACAAAACAGATAATAAAAATAAAGAAAATTAAAAATAAAAAATTAAACACATTTTCCTGTTTTAGATAAATAACACAAATGGCATTACCTGTAAGAATGACTCCCTCCTCATTCACTTGCAGGATCAATTCAGTTAAGTAAAAAAAAAGGTAAGTTAACCAAAAGGGGTTTCCAAATCTTCTCCATGCAATACAAAAAGCAGATTGAATGCAAAAGCAGACTCAACAGAAAGCACTACAAGATGAACCGCTGTTTCTGACTAGATCTAAGCAAAAAGGAATGACACACAGTCATTCAGTCAGTCCATATTGACTGTGTCTCCCTCAGGCTGCGGTGACCACCTTCTGGGGTTTGTCTTCTGGCTCGTCCAGCCACCTGAAGTAGGCATCGCCCAGGATGAAAATCCAATAGAATACGGTCAGAGAGGTGTTTGCGGTCACAATGCCGATGATTAAAGGGTGCAACATGGTGGCAGACTTGTTGGACTCTTTAGGAATCTGTGTCACCTCAATAAAACCCGTCTGCTGTGTGGGGGCGAAGGGTTGTCTGTACGTCTGATTGAATCGCCTCTCCGTCTGCTTCTACCCTCTTCATGGACACCCCCCACTCACACACTCTCTCTTTCCACTGGTCACTAAGTTTCTGTGGCAACAGTAGCATAATCCTCTTCAGCCGCTTTGTTACAGAAGATAAAGTTGATTTAGATGTAGGCTTTACAAACGTTGTTCACCCATGCAATGTGCATAATTCACATTTATTTATAGTATGCAGAAAAAAAGAGTGTTATGAGTCAGTATTTTGTAAAGAAATTTTTTAAGAAATGTAATTATTGTATGATTATTGTTAAACAACCCCCCTGACTGGGAAAGAAAAACACATAATCTTTGTTGTGAACTTCATGTTCTGTCTCAGGTATAATCCAGAATCTAATCAAGACTGAAGACATCAGATGGAGGAGTTCTTAATCTTAAATCAAACAGGACAGATGGCTCCTTAATCAAAACCCAGGAGCTACAGGAGGCCTGACAACACTTTTTTTTTTTTTACTTCTGTCATTACATAATCATCTCGTGTACCTAAAAGCCATAAATTGGTTGAAATTAGAAAGCAAAACCACAAAAGTGTAATTAAGTGTCTGGGAAAAGTCATCAAGGAAACGTGAGAAAACTAACCCCGACTCTCCACTAGATGGCAGGCTGTACACGTGTTCGCTGAATGGCGAATGACCCATAGACTGTAACCGAAATGGTTTCCTAGTAGCATGTAGAAACGCATTGCAGAATTCACTTGTAGGCTAATTGCGTAACAAAATAACTGCAGCCACATATAGCACATACTTCAATAAAACACGTTCGTATTATACGCATTACGCGTGATTCAGCAGTCTGAATCTGAACTTTGCATCTGTCTCCCTTTAAATTTTCACTCATTAGACCCCTGAGGTGAACTTTGAGACCTGGGCTACCAGATAGTAGGCTACACGTATTGGAGCAGCGGCCTTGTTTTTATCACAGATCAAAAGGCAACGGGTGACACTCCTTTTAATGATCTCCTTCCCTCGGCGTCAGCGGAGAGGACACTGGCTTCTAACATGCCTCACTTCGCAACCACGCGTGTTTAACAGGGATTATTTCTATCTGGACATTTCTTTTCTAAAAGCGGTCAAACAAGAAGTTTTCAACAATGAGGCTGCCGGTGGAAGTCTGCGTGTTTCTTATTTCTCTCTTGGCTCCTGGAGTTTTGTACACCATGAACAACATCCCTGTGCTTCAGCAGTAAGTGTGCATGCACTGGCTCTTTGGATAATTACACTCTCATCTTCGCGCTGTGGAGGCACCGCACAGTAAAGCCACTGATATAAAAGGAGGTTTGGCTAGGGCGTGTTTATCATGAGGTAACCTTGTTTAAAGTTGCTGTCAAGGTGCTTAAAGCCGACACACAAAACTTAAGCCTTAAATATGGAAATAAGTGGATTTAGGGAAAATTTTATTAACTCGTAAAAAGTAAAATGTAGACTAGTAAATTCATGTTTTACCTTAAGTGTACAATAAATATAAAACAAATCATTCAAATTCGTCAGTGTTCCTTGTTGCTCCTAAGATCTGTGCAATTGATCCTTAGAGATGCACTTTTATGATTTAATTATAAATTCTTTACTTCATTAGATCACGTGACTTTGATAGCTGTGTACAAATCTTGACCAGTGTTGGCATACTCCTAAGCAAACCTGAGCTTTTGAATTACACCAAAGAAAACCTTTCTATTCAATAAGTCAATGAGTTGTTGAATTTGAAATCTAACTGAGAGTGGGGAGACGCTTTTAAGGGAGTAGATGAGTGTGGACAGTTTTGAGTCTAATGAAAGAGTGCTGCATCATTTTTCTGAAAACAAAATGGAGGAACCAACAGGAGTTAAAATGAATGGTTTCTAGGGTTGTTGACAATCAAAAGCCTTTGATTCTAACCTCCTTTCTCCTTTTATGGTTACAAGGACAAATATTATTATCATCAATTATCAATCTAAATTAATCGAGTAGTCTTTGATTTATAAAATGTCAGAAAATATCTATTAATGTTTCTAAAGCACAAGGTGACCTCCACAAATTGCTTGTTTTGTCTGACCAACAGTCAAAGATACTCTTTATCACAAAAGATGCATAAAAGATGCATAAAACCAGCAAATCCTCACAACTGAGAGGCTGGAACCAAATCATGTTTAGCATCTTTGCTAGAAAAAAAATACTTAAATGTTAGTCAATTATCAAAACAGTTGCTTTGCTGATTTAATTTGCTGTCCATGATTGAATTGAGTCAGTGTTTCATTTCAAGTTAAAATATTGGCTGGGGTGTAGACTTGCACATTAACTAATGTATGAACTCTCGCTGTCACTGTTACTCCTCAGACCTCTTCCTATCCTGGGAATGGGAATGGTCATCCTGGGATTGGTTCTTCTTCTCCTCCTCTTCACTGTGGGAAACAAGCAGAAAGTGGACCCCTTATTCTATGGTACAACCATAAAAACACACACCTTCAAACATCTGTCAGTGAAGACAGGGTAGAGTGTTGTTTTTTTCATTGTGCCTCTTTGTGTCTGCCCAGTATTTGCAGAGTTTTCATTCGCTTGCATGGTGGGCCTGACGAATGCTTTAGAGCAGGATGGGTTCATCTCTGGCTTCATAGGCTTCTACCTAAAGATGGTAAGAGAAGCTACACAGAGCTAAACCGTTTCCCACTCTAAACTACTTCCTATATATTTCAGAAGTTTATAAGTCCAAAGTAAAAGTTTAAATTCATCATGCCATGCTGTATCTTCAGGGTGAGCCTCATCTAAGTACCGCCTATGCTGTGATGATGTCTTACTGGGAAGGGGTCGTTCACTTCCTCCTCTTCCTCGCTATCATCCACCGCATGTTCAAGGGGTAAGCTGTGGCGTCACCATCACCCATCTGCAAAGTCTTCTTTGAGTCCTCAAATGAAACCTGTTGATTTTCTGTCCACGCAGGAAGTCGTATCGCAGCCTGGGGCTGCTGTGGGCCGGCTCCTCAATCGCCCATCAGATCGTCCTCATCCCGGGAGTGTTCATTGGTGAGAGCTGCATACTGAGAGTTTCATCACATCGGTGTTTGTTGTTTGTGCATGTCTCCTATTGATGATGTTCTCATTTGCGCAGGTAAATATGGGTCTAACATCCAACCAGCATTCTGGAGGAACATCCCCTTCTTTTTGGTGCCTTTCTGGGCGGCGTCCCTGCTCTTCAGCAGACCCAGAGAGATGCCAGTCGTCACAGCAGACAAAGTCAGTTTCAGCAGTGAAGACATTTATGATATTCTGTGTATCTGTAGAGCAAAGTAAAAGCAAAAATTTAAGAAAAGGATGAAAAAAAACAGCATTTTGTGAAGCTGTTTCCTCACTTGCTGAAATGTTGCATATATTTTTTTATACACAGACACCAGGCCTAAATGAGCATTTGAAGTGATTAAATATACAGTACATTTTCTGAGATTTGTTCTGTGTTGACTAGATCTCAGTGGAGCAAAAGAAAAGTCTGCTGTCTCGACCTATTGACCTGCTTCTGTCACTTGTGTTACTCGGAGCAATGGCCTTCTCTGTTTTCAGAGGCTTTGTAAGTATAACGACGTGGAAGCTTTTCTGCATCTGTTCGGCATTTCTGCTTCTAAATGAACTCACTGAGACGTGAGGTCACATGTATAGTATGGAAACTATAACTCACTAGTCCTGCTCTGCTCTAGGTAGTGCTGGACTGTCCTCTAGACGCCTGCTTCACCTACATCTACCAGTACGAGCCCTACCTCAAAGACCCAGTTGGCTTTCCGAGAGTTATGGTCAGTCTGGAGAAAGACACTGGATTGAATCAAATATACTGTGTGTTCTTGTCGAAAATCATAGCTGATCCTTCTGTGCACCATTACTACAGATGCTGGTGTATTTGTTCTATACTCTGCCCCTGCTCACTGTCTTCATCTATGGCCTGAAAACACCTGGATGCAGCTGGATGTTGGACTGGACCATCTTCTTGGTTGGGGCCATGGCTCAGGTAACTATGGTTATTATGTCTTTGGTGTTATTAAAATTCCTTGAAAAAGCAAAATACAGTATTAAAGTTGACTTCTTCCTGCTGTTCTCTCAGACCCAGTGGTGCCATCTCGGAGCATCTCTGCACTCCCGCACTCCCTTCACGTACCGAGTCCCAGCAGACAAGTGGTGGCCTGTTATCACCCTCAATGTGCTGCTCGCTGCTGCACCGGTTCTGTTGGCCCTGCGCTGCCACACCAACCCCGCTTATTTTATGAAACCTGTTCCCAAGGGACAGGCCAACAATGAGAAGAAGAAAAACTAGACCACACACCAGCTATTGACTGTCGAGGAATACTTCATGCTGTGACAAGGCTAATGTTTTCTGGGGACTCTCGTTGCCGCACAAACTTCATTAAACACAAAATATTTCAACCTAAAACCGAGAGGAAATGTAAAAATGCTGCTGTCAGACTCAACTGTTCAAAATCAGTCACCTCGCGCAGCAGCACTCCCTGCATGAACTATTGGACCCTGATAAGAAGGCTGTTCATTGAGGTGAGGACTGTGATCAGATTGCACGGCTTTCAGGTGACTCATGCAGATACCCATTTGGTATCTTCCCAAACTAAGACTAACCTGGATCATACAGGTCGGCAACACAATACTGGAGAGTGACAGTCATCATTATACATCTTTCTATGCAGAAATCCTCACCACTTGAGCTTGAGGCTAATTTTTACTGATCCAAAATTGTCAGTAAAAACTATCACAGCTTTGAAGGTTTAAAATAAATGTGAATATAAGAAGTGTTCATAGGATTCAGTAAATAATGCTGCTGAATAACAAAGAGTTGCTGATAAAGGAGACACTCGCAGATATTATTACTCAGTTAACCAGAAAAAGTCCACCTGGTGCCTTTATGTAACATATTTTTTATCCTACTTGTTGTCACTGGGGCCTCAACTAATGACTATTTTCTGATTAACTGATTAATCATTTGGTTCTACAAATATCAAAAAATAATGAAAAATTTCCAGCATTTCCTAAAGCCCAAGGTGACATCTGACCAACTGTTAAAAATCCAAAGATATTCAATCTGCAATTATATAACAAAGAAAAGCATCAAATCCTCACACTGTAGAAGCTTAAATCAGAGATTATTTGGTGTATTTCCTTGATAAATTAATTGAATACCAAAATAGTTGTGACTGCATCTCAGTGTGGTTTTCCATGTTTCATCTTCCTCTTTATTTTGTACAATAAACAAATCATCTAAATCGGGCTTGTTTTTGTATAAAAAATGGGATTAAGATGATTTGAGCCGACCAGTTGTAACAGCATTTGATTAAATTACATTTGCATCAACCTTTTCTGTTTTGGCATTATCTCTATTGGTTGATGTGCATGTGCACTTAAATAAGAAAACCAAAGTTGATCATGAATCTAATGTTGGATTCTGAAGTTATCTGCAAATGGAGCAGTTTGCTGGTTTAACAGAACTATCTCTTCAGATGTCAATACTGCCTCCAGTTGGTGATGTCATTGTGCCTTGTGTGCGGTGAACTCTCCTGTCAAATTGATAAGAGCTGAACCCTGGATTTAGGTGAGCTGTCAGCCACAACAGCCACACAAATGATCACATGACACGTCGGCCAGCTGTCCATGGCCCAAACAGTTTTTTCTCCTGGGTATGTTATTTTTTAAATAAAGTGTAGTTTTCACATGAATCAATGAATCAATATTGTCCAGGACTGTATATGATGCATAGATCATTAATTTAATATTTTATGTGAGAGGGGGTGTGAACGTGGAACGCAGTTCACATTTCAGTTACACACAGTAGGTTTTCAAGTTAAGTGTTTTAGATGCAGTGTTTTGAAATGTGAAAAAGTAATTTTAGAATATATGCCTGGCACTGCAGAGACTACATGTTCAGTGGGACTAAAACAAATTATAATAACCCAGTTAAATGGACAGAAAATGGACAGACCTTGCACATCTCTTGAAAATGATCCGGGTTTAGAGGGTCTACATGGATTTATGATATACTATGCACAACTTAAGTCAACTGCTTTTAAGATTTATCTTAATTTTTCTGATCAAACTTTGGGATCAAATTAAGACCATACTGTAATTCATCTCAAGAAAATTCATTATTGTTGAGTGTTGGACTTAATTGATTTGTTTTTTATTTTACACTGTTCTGGCAAGCACATTCATTTATGACTTCTCTTTTTTTTTTAAATACTCACAGACACAACAGAGATGTGTAAAAATTACCTTGTGAACCAAACAGGATGAAACTATTGCTCACTGTGCCGCGCAATGTGTGCCGTGCAAGTGAGTGGCAAAGCTCAGAAAGGTTAAGCCAAAAACAAAGACTTTCATCTGCTGGGGTACCAAGGTGACATGGCGGAAACTATCTCTCAGCACAACAGCACTTTCCTGTCAAAAAGTAATGGATTATAGGATCTCTACACTAGTTAAAAAAAAAACACAAAAAAAAACTTTACCGCCATGCTTAGACACAGTGGTGCTTTGAGCTAAATACTAACATGTTCACAATGACAATGTTGCCATGCTGATGTTTAGCAGGCGATGTTTACCATCCTCACTAGCATGTTATGCTAACATTTGCTAATTTAATAGCAATCCATGTAATAACTGTTGAAACATTTCACTCAAAACACAAATCTCAACCTCATGGAGGCGCAGGAGTAAAAGTCAGTCGGCTTTATCCAGCATAAATGTCTCTTTAAAAATGTCATGGCAATCCATCCAATTGTTGAAATAATGTACTTCAGTGTTGGTTTGAATAAAAAAACAAACAGAAATGTAGTTGTTGTTTTTTTTTTACTTTATTAAGAATGGAATACAACAGCAGGACAAAAAGTCATAAGAACACCAAAAAAATTGATGACTGATCAAATATCAATGGGACCAAAGGACAAAAAATAGTGACATTCTACCCATCATGTAAATGTAAATATAGCCGTGCAAAGATTTAAAGTATTTAGCAATTCAGATACAATCAAGTAGTTATCTTGAGAAAGTATTGTATGTAATCCCATCCACACTATCTATGTCAATGGGAAATAATCATTAGCTGAGAGGGCTTATGGGGGCATCTATTTCATTGGACAAGGTCCAGCTATTGATCAAGGATCAGCCAATAACAAACACCACAATATTTACAATACAGAGATTAGGGGTATTCTAATGATTAATTTTGTTTATTGTTAAGTATTGGACTTATACTGGTATAGAAAAATTATGTTACATCGGCTCTCTGAAGTATAAGTAAGAAAAGAAAGCACATTCACTAGCAAGTGATTTATAATAAATAGTAACATAACACCAAAACACAGCAAATATTAGAAAAAGGCATGTCAGTAGAATAAAATAGACAACGCTAGTCAGGTGCTCTATGGAAAAAGTAACAGCTACAGTACACATACAAAAAGCTCAGGGTTACCAGGGACTGAATGCTATCTTGCATCAATTACATCTGTGCTTTGTAAACAGAATACTAGGATGGGTCATTTATCATGTAGAACAAGCAAACCTTCACAAAGTGACTCAGCACTTTTCAAGTTTTTCTCTTACATGCATACGCTCACACACACTCGCACACTGCTGTTTGAGTTCATAGACAGGAGGAGGATTTAGTGTACTGAGATCTTAGAGAGGGAGTTAGTGTAATAACAGTGAGTTAGTGTTATAGTTAGTGTTCGCAGGGACCTCGGTTAAAGGAAGCAGGGTGAAAACAAAGAGAAGCATCAAAACATCCTAACTCAGGGACAGGGGTTTATGGAGATAAACTGTAAGAAAACCTAATTAATCAGGAGGAATAAAGCTAAACAGAGCATGGTTAGAAGCAGGAAATGGAAATGGGAGTGATGTGAACTACTGTCTGTCTTTATGGGCCATGGTTAGCACCTAGGCATTGCAGATATGGTATTATTTGGTTCAGTAGTAGCTGTGTGTGTCCTCTCTGGCCTTATGTCCATCTCCTCCGTGCCTCCTGTGGCTGCGGCGCTCATGGTGCTGATTGTGGTGGTGGCGTCGGTACCGGTGTGATCGCCGGGCTAAAAGTGGAGGGGGGAAAAAGGGTTTGATGTTGTACATATATTGCAGTAGATCATGTACTGCACATCACAAATGTCATCTGGTTCTTTGTTTGCATATCATTTTGACATATTCATTCTGTTAATTTAGTATTTTAAGAGACCACAAGGTTGTGCTACAGCTCAACTGAAACTGGGATTTGAGGATGATGCTGACATGAAAGAGTCTTGAATTCCAATAACAATAAATTGCAGATACTCTTTTGTTTTTTGTTTTTACATAAACACGTGAATAAAAACATGTTTGATAAGAATCCATTAAATTTGTTTGTAGTGACAAGCTGTTTTGTTTTCTAAATTACCTTAAACATATCTTGTCATATTTCTGTTTAATTTTTTGTTGATAACCAGCCGACATAAACACTAACATATCTACAATAACATAATGTGCACTGCTGCTGCACTCTGGATGTGAGCATCAAAAGCCACAAAGAGCAGAAAAAGAGGCCATTAGGCTATATGTAACCAGGAAAGCCAACTAAAAACAAATCATTATTTACAACACAGTCTGGCAGAGGACAGGTCAGGAACATAATTATGGAGCCTCCAAGGCAGTAAAAGGTTATCAGATGAGTCAGAAATTGATTACAAAAAATAATTTCATCAATAAACAATACTGTTAGTTAAATAATTCAAATGAAGTGTAAAAATATGAATTTTCCTTTAACCTCAAATCAGTTGGTAAAAAAAGAGGAAAGCTTTTTTCCTTTACATACAGGACACATGACGCAGGTATAAAAATAGACTGAACACTCACACTTTGTGCAGATGATCCTGGGTCTCTCCCAGGTGCCATCGGCTCGGCAGCGAGCGGTGGGGATGTGACGCTGGAAGAAGCCTTCAGAGCACTGGTAGCGTACTACTGCGTGGATGTCATAGTGTGACCTCCGCCGACCTATCAAATGGGCGTTCTCCACTGCAGGCGGGGTCCCGCACAATACTGCCGGAAAAAAATTAAATCAAACCATATAAAACATACTGATAAAGGTTGGTATAAATCCAGTATCAAGTTCTACCAACAGTACATCATGTAGGACCTCCCATGATGACCTAGTATAGTATAGTAAAGTCTCACTTTCCACTTACTATTTGTTAAGCACAAATACTAATACAGCAAAACAGATACATACTATTTCACTAAATTAAATGTTCAAGGCACAACATAGCATGTGTATTTTGCCTCTAGATGGCAGTGTTGAGAAGAGCTGTGAGGCCAGAAGGAGGTAATGGGTATTTGCGCAGACAGGGAGCACAGCCAAACCACAGAGTCATGAGACCACAGCCAGACAAACAAACACTCTCAAACTACTTAATCCCTTTTCTCCCTGTCCTCCTCCATCCTTCTCCATCCTTTTCTAACTCCTCCTGACCACCAGCCACCCATCCCCCACCCCCCTTCTTTAGTTTTCGTTGCATCCCACAAGATCTCACTACTGAGTTCACATTCAGGTCGTCTGAGTCAGGCCACAGAGGGAAGGTGTGGGTGAGTGTTCGGAGAAGGATCAGAGGAATTTCAGATCATATTTGTGAACAAGGCAGTAATTGGCAATAACTGCAGTTCTGCTTTCTGGACAAGTGTAAGTGATCCCCGAGGAGAGAGAGATGGCAATAAGAGGAAGACTGAGATTGATATTGCTCTCAAAAATCAATACAAGATTGAGACTGAATCACAATCTTCACTTAAGTTTGTGTTTGTCTGCAATTTTTCCGAGCATCTGCTGTAGCTGTGACCTTTATTGTAGAGAAAGTGATGTGAAACAGCTATTGAAGTCTGACTAACTACTGACGCTTTGTTCTACATAAAGGGCACGAGGACTGATGATGAGCATTGATGACTAACAGGTGGCCAGCTGGTCAGCGATAACACACAAGCAACCAAATTGTATGAAGAAAGCAAAAACCTCTCGTCATAATTTTATTAAGCTTTGATTTGTTGAGCGTGTCAAACAGGGAGGGACAGCAGGTCATCGTTTGTTCACACTTCTTTTGGTTCTATTCAGTCCAGCAGCATGACAGTACCTGTGCCTTTTTTGCAGATGTAGGGCAGGTTGTAGTTGCAGGGCACGTCGTTCCACTTGCCATCCTCATGGGCAATGGTCACCACACAGTCCTCACCTCCTGCAAAGAAGTTATCTGGCTGGCTCTCCCTCCAGTTCTCATATACCTGCAAAACAGCAAACAACAGAGTTGAGCTGCATTTGCTTTCATTTGTAAGTACCGAATCTCCAATCTTCTCTCCAAAAGATGAACACTGTTGCTTTCAGAAAGATGCCATTTGTAACATTCCACATGAGATTTTGCGCACACACGCACGCACGCACGCACACACACACACGCACGCACACACACACACACACACACACACGGGAGACACATTTTTGATTAAAATGATTTTTAAAAATTAGCAACTTTTCTCATTTAGTTTCTTACTAAGAGCAATATGAATGTAACATTTTCTGCCAAAGATACAAAGGTTTTGGCTATTTCACAATGGAGTTCTTTAATTGTATTTTACTCTTCTCACTATTTGAAGTGGGCGGGGCTCATCTGAAGTCATGTATTTATGCCCATCAATCAGAATTTAGCAGCATTTTAATCCAAATCTGATGCCAGTTGTGGGGTTGTCTGCTGATGTTGAAAGGCCGCTCTATATCAAATCTGATCAAACCAGACCAACACAGATTATCTGAGTTTTTCAGTGTGAAACTTTTAATCAGTAGCTTAGAATGTTTTTCAATGTTAGCTGGAAGCTTTAGCATTGTTACTAAAGCTTAGAACTGAAGATTTGAATTTTTTAGGGGCTTTAAAACTGGAGTCAGCGGCACAATTCAAAACTGATCACTGACCAGATCGTTGCTGTCAGTCCACTGAAAGTCTTCCTCCACTGTACGGTCATTCAGTCCGATCCAGGCATTGTCATGACCCAGACCTGCAAAGAACAACAGTTCACATGTTCTTTTGACTTAATTACTTAAGTACTTTTGTAAAAACTCTGATATCCATACAAACTCACTGATACATATCTCAAATGTGTTCAGTCTTCCTGTTCTTCTCCCTCTTGTTAATTCCATCATCTTTTATTAATATCATTTCATTTTTGCATAATTCTGCTTGTGACTTCCTTCCTTGTCTGCTTTGCCATCAGTAAGTTAACAAATTAGGAAGACTATGGAAACAAGTTACAGGGATATGTGCTTTTTTATCCTGTTTCCTGCTTCAAAGCACCTTGTTTTGCTATATGATATTTATACTTTGTTTTATTAGGGCCCAAAGCACGAAACATGCAAGGTCCCTATTGCAACTGAAGGGATTTTTTCCCCTGCAAAGTAACCTCAACTTTGGGGGCCAAAACATGCTCGAAAACTCACCA